CCCACCTTCAGTTTGTTGCGGGGCACGAATGTGCTCCGGAACATTTCCGTGGCGGGCGCCCTGACGGCGACCTTCCAAAACCTGGACGACACCATCCTCATCGAGTCGGACTCCTATGCGCGCGGGGAGACCTACACGCAGCTGGAAACCGGAGCCGCCATCACGGCGGCCATCGACGCGCTGAACTTGTCCCAGTACCGCACGGAGGCCCAGGTGCTGGCGCTCATCGCCGGCGAGCTGGTGCCCTACTGGACCCAGAGCGAGGTGTCGACCTACGTGGCCGGAGAGCTGGCCAACTACCAGACCAGCGGCCAGGTGAGCTCGGCCATCTCCGCTGCCCTGTCGAGCTACGACAACAGCAGCCAGGTGGACAGCAAAATCGTCACGGCCCTCCTGGACTTCTACACGCGGGCCGAGACCGACCAGGCCATCGCCGATGCCGTGACCGGCGGCACGGACCTGTCGAACTACTACACCATCTCCGAGACCCAAACCTACGTGGCCAACGAGCTCCTCTCCTACTACCCCAGGACCGAGCTGGACAGCCAGCTCACGGCCACTTTCACGCAGTACTGGACGTCGGGGCGTACCCAGACCGAGATCAACGACGCCGTCGCCGGCTTGCTGGACCAGACCGCGGGGGACGCCCGCTACTTGGTCAGGGCTCCCGGCGCGGAGTCGGGGCAAATTTTCAATCTCGTCCAAGAGCAATTCGTGCCCCGAATAGTGCGCAATTTGCTCTTGGAGGCGCCGCTGGTCGGCGACGCGATCCTGGGCAACCAGTCCACCCTGCGCATCCGGAGCGACTCCTGGTCCAAGGCCGAGGCGGACTCCCGCTTCCTGCGCACGAACGACCTCACGCCCTTGGACGCACGCTACTTCGTCACCACTCCCGGCGCCGAGGGAGGAGGTATCTTCAACTTGGCGCAAACTCAATTTGTCCCGAACATAATCAGAAACATCCTGTGTCAAACGCCGCTGTCCTGCCAGCCCATCCTGGGCAACGGCAGCACCCTCCAGATCTCCTGCGACTGCTGGTCCAAGGGCCAGAGCGACACCCGCTACCCCCTCATCGCCAACTTCAATTCGTTGGGCCAGCGGGTCACGGACCTGGAGAACAGCCCGGGCGTGGACCCCACGGCGGACCTCACCGTCAACAGCCTCACGGCAACGGCCTTCGTGCAGACACCCCTGCTGCAGAGCGCCGCTGCAGACCTGCAAATCCGGAATGCGCTGAGCACGATCCGCGCAGAGGACGGCACCTTGGTGGCCTCCTTCGCCGCCGGCAGCATCGGCCTGGAGCAAGACATCACCGTGCGCTCGGACCGCACTTTGAACGCCACCACGGCGGACTTCGCCCAGCTCTTCGTGGGCAGCACCGCTGCCACGGGGACCTTCACGAGCAGCAGCTCGGTGTCCGCTACGCAAGAGATCACGAGCGATTTGAGGCTCGAGGCGCCCCTGGTGCGCGCCGATCCGGCGGCCCCCTGGCTCACCGTCCAGGGCGGGACCAACGGGATTCTACTGGACGACACGGTCCGCGTCAACGGGGTCTTGGGGCCCGAGGCCAGCCTGCCCTTCCTGTCGCTCTCGGGCGGGAGCAGCGGCGTGCAGGTGCTTTCGCCGCTGCTGGAGCAAATCGCCGTGGGGCCCACGGACGGCTCCGTGGGAGTGGTGGTGCGCAACGCCGCGGCGACCGGGGAGGCGGTGGTGCTGCTGGACGCCAACAACCAGGCCGGCGTGGCGGAGCTCAAGGTGCGGGCGGGCGGCAACTGCGAGCTGAACGCCGTGAACCAGTTCATCAGCTTCAACACCACCAACGGGGGCCTGGCCAACCTGGCCATCGAGCCCCTGATCGGCGGGTCAAATGACGGCGAACTGATATTCGGCTACGGCTTCGTCAATCTCAGCGACCGGGCGCTCAAGGAAAACGTCCGAGCCATCCCGGAGGAGGAGCTGCAGCAGACCTTCGACGCCGTGGAGCCGCAGATCTACGACCGCATAGGGGGCGGCAAGGAGCAGATCGGCTTCGTGGCCCAGGACGTGCAGGCCAGTGGGAAGCTTGGGGCGACGATGTGTAAGACCAAGAATCTGGATGGGAGAGAGCTCATGGCCCTGGACTACCAGAAGCTCTCGGTGGTGCTGTGGGGAGTGGTCAAGGGGCTCCAAAGGAGAGTGCAAGCTCTGGAGAAGAGGAAGAAGCGGAAGGACTCCGATTGAGCCCGAAAGGGCTATTCCTCTCGATTGTATCTCCAGGTATGATCGAGAGGAATAGCGGTTTTGGATGTGTTTTGCGCCCCGAAAAGGCTATTCCTCCAGGGTGTATCTCCACAGACGGCCTGGAGGAATAGCGGTTTCTGAGGCTTTGTGTGCCAAAAACGGGCCCGACGACGTGGTGCCAAACGCACCAACCCGTAAAAATGGCGGAGGAGGAGGCCATCGGGCTCTTCCAGCAGCTGGCCCGCGATTTCAATGTTAGAGACCCCAGGAAGCTCTATCAGATCGCCCGGCGGGAGTTTCCCGGGCGGGCGGACCTTACGAGTGCGCGGGCCCAGGCGGCATTGCGCAGCGACGTGGCGAGGCAGATCCTCGCACCGAAGCCGCGGAGTCTGGGGAAGAGTGCGGCGGAGGGGCCCAACGACCGCCTGCAGGCGGACCTCATCGATTTCGCCCAAAACACGCGGGGGCCGAACAAGTTCGGGCTGGTGGTCACGGATGTGTTCACGCGCGAGGTGGCCACGAAGGCCCTGCCCGACAAGTCGGCCCAAACGGTGACGCGGGCGGCGGCGGAGATCATCCCCCAGCTGGTCCAGGACGAGTCGAATTACGTCGTCACCACGGACCTGGGCAACGAGTTCCGGGGGCTGGAGGCGGCACTGCCGGGGGGCGTGGTGCACCGGCAGAAGGACCCGACGGATCGCAATGCAACCGCGGTGGTGGATCGAGCCATCCAAACATTGAAGAAAGATTTGGCGGGCGAGGTGGCCCGGCACGGCGGCGGGTGGGGCGATCACGTGGACGAGGCGACGGAGGCCTACAACGCCCGGCCGCACGCGGCGGTGACCGTGGCGCCCGAGGATGTGGAGACGATGCCGGCCGCAGGGTTCAGGGCCTACCAGGACAACGCCGCCAAGTTCAAGCACAATGACGAGTTGACGAGGAGCCGTCAGCGGCGGCTCGAGGAGGCGGGGGCGTTCCGGGCCCCCACCAATGCGGCGAGGTCATTCCAGCCCCAGTACGGGGCGGTGCGGGAGGTTGCGAATTTTGATTCGATGACGGTGCGCGCCACCGACGGTTCGGAGACTCTGTTGAAGCATGCGCTCCCGGTGCCTCGCGGCTCCGCGGAGCCTAAGGCCCGGCTGACTCGCCGGCCGGTGCCACTGGCGGTGCGGCAGCTGAGAGATTTCAATCCCGGGCCCACGGCGCCGCCCGGGTGAGTTTGGGTTCGCCGTGGACACCCCCCCCTGAGACATCTGAGACATTGAGACATCTGAGACGTCGGGAGGTTTGGGTTCGCCGTGGGACACCCCCCCTGAGACATCTGAGACATTGAGACATCTGAGACGTCGGGAGGTTTGGGTTCGCCGTGGGACACCCCCCCTGAGACATCTGAGACATTGAGACATTTGAGACGTCGGCGGGTTTGGGGCTCGCCGTGGCCCTGAGACATCTGAGACATTGAGACATTTGAGACGTCGGGGGGTTTGGGGCTCGCCGTGGCCCTGAGACATCTGAGACATTGAGACAAATGGCCTTGATCCCAGGGTCAATTGTCTCAGATGTCCCAGTGTCTCAGGGGGGTCCCCCCCCGGGACCAGAGAGCATTGTATGGGCGGGCATCCAGAGCGCCTCGATTCCAGGGTCAATTGTCTCAGATGTCTCAGTGTCTCAGGGGGGGTCCCCCCCCCCCGGGACCAGAGAGCATCGCATCCAGAGCATCGCATCCAGAGCATCGGCGAGGATCCAGAGCATCAAATGAGGTTCAGGCTAGGGTGCGGGACGGCAACCAAATAAAAAAACTAGACCGGCTCTACCTAAACCGGGGACACCCCCCTAGCCGGCGAACCCTACACACTTTGTGCGCGCAGGGGACGATGCAGGGCAGCCTAGTCGGGCTAGGGGTTCTAGGGGGTTCGGGTCCGAGAGGTTCGGGCGTTAAGGGTAACCGGTTCAACCGACAAGACACACGCGCACTTGCAGGGCAGCCTAGTCGGGCTAGGGGGTTCTAGGGGGTTCGGGTCCGAGAGGTTCGGGCGTTAAGGGGTAACCGAGGACACACAGCATGCACTCCGCGGGCCACGACCGGTGCTTGGATGGACCTGCTCCACAGGGGTTTCGAAACATGACGACGCACAAGCACTCCTGCGATGGCCTCGTCCGCGACTTCTGATTGGATGGACCTGTTCCACAAGGGGCTTCAAAACATGACGACACACAAGCACTCCTGTGGGGGGCCTCGTCTTCGGCATCGGGACTGGCCCGCGTGCCCCCCCCCCGGTCCCAGGAAGCAAAGAGTCGCTGACCAACGAGCGCGAACATAAACTCAGCCCTCAAGCATGCAGCACACACACAGGACGACATGCGTACAATTGCACTCCACGGTCTTCGGCGGATTCTTTTTGCCACACCCTCTCGATGCTGTGCAACGTCGGCCGGTCGGCCCCATCGGGAACGTCCCCTGTGCACTGGGATCATCCAGATTGGCCTGAACCGGGCCCGAGCCCCCCGGTTACCCTCCTTGCCCCACTCACGCCCTTTCCGCGAAGTTCGGGTCTGCTAAACTACAGGAATTGTGTTTTTAAAGAGATCGATATTGCTTGCATATATGACATAAATAGAGAGGGCTTTGACACCTGTAGATACGCAACCGAGTCGACCCTAAATTCGCGGGGCGGTCCCCTAGGCATCTATCTATATCAGAAATGTAACTATATATAAGTGTCCCTAGATAAGCATCACAGACAACCATGCAAGGAGGGCGGACTCGCCGGGCTCAGCAGCTACTCCATGCTCCCCTCGAGCTTGACCGGGCTCTCCTTCGCCTCCTTCTTGCCGTCGGCGCCGAGGAAGCGATACAGGAGGACATACGCATTCCTCCGCTTTCCATCCAGGCCCGTCTCCGTCTTGGTCCGCTTCTCCACCAACCCAGCCTGCTTCAGCAGATCGCTGCAGGACCACTTGGGGCGCTTGGCGCCCTTGTCATCGGCAAACTTGCTCTCCAAGAACTTTTGCAGCTCATCATACACCTTTTGCGCCTCGGAGGCAGCGGCCTGCGACGGCGCCCGGACGATCCTGGTCATCACAAACTGCTCCGCAGCGCTGCCCAGCTCGTTCTTGATCTCGGCCGTCAGCAGGAGCTTGCACTTCAAAGGCACCGGGCCTATGGACCGCATGCTGCGGTTCCACAGCAGGGTCTCGTAGATCAGGTAGAGGAGGCCGAAGATCCCCGGGACCAGCTTGTCCAGCGAGCCCTCGATGTCTCGCCACTTCATCTGGTTGGCCTCCTGGACCTCGTCGGCGAACACCGACACGTGCTCGATCACGGCTGTTCGCTGCCGCACCGCATAATCCCCCACGAGTGGCGGGGGATTGTTTGCGGCGAAGAGCACGAGGTGCTGCGGGCGAAATCTGACAAGTTTTTCGTACAAATCTCGTCCGGATAGCTCCGTGTTCGGATCGGTGAAGGTCTTGTAGGTTTGCAAACGCAGGTTTTCGGCAGCGTCCACTTCCCTCACGGCCACAAAGCGGCGTGCTCTCACCATGGCATACATCGGAGTGGGAGCGTTCGGGTCTCGCACTTTCACGAGGGTTTCAGCGGCAATCGAGCAGGCATACGATCCGAGCACGCGCTGCATCATGTTGCATATGCTGTCCTTGCCGTTCCGCCCGACGCCCCTCGTGAACAGGGCGGCGGCCTGAGGGAGGCCGAAGACTCCTTTGGAGAGCAGCATGAGCTCATACAGAGTGGAGGTCCAATCGTCCCGGGTGTAGTTGTGGAAGATCTGCAGCTCGTCGATCTGCGCCGCAACCTCGTCCAGCTCCCGGCAGATCTCGCCCACGAGCTCGTAGTCCGCGCCGTCCTGAAGCCTGTCCTGGATCTTGCGCACTTTCAGCAGGACATCCCGCAGCAGAGGCCCGGATGTCTCCCACCAGGACGGCCACCTGTGCTCCCAGCCGGTCGACCTGCTGATGTTCATGGACGGCTCGACGTCTCTCCATAAGAGCGTCTCTCTGTCGAGCACTCGCCCCTCAAAATTGAGGTAGCGCGTCGACTCCTGTCCATCGAGGGTCCAGGTCTCGCTCGTGACCCCCAGGTGTGAGCGGAGCGAGGTGGCCACGCCATTTTTGAAGGGCTCTGAGGAAAATTCCCACCTTTCCTGCGGGAACACCTCCTGGCCCTCGGTGTTCCACGACAGGTGGTAGCGCCCGAGCTCCCGCTGCGCAATCGTCTGGATGCTCCTCTTGAGGACGTCCATCGCGGAGTCGCCCGTCTGGATCCACTGCCGATGCGGCGTGCTGTAGAAGGCCTTGTGCCCGGTGTCCATCACCACCTTGAAGATGTTCGGAAGCGCATGGGGCACGTTGTTGCTCACCGCCGGGCAACGGACCATGATCTCGGCAAACAGCCCATGGCGAGTCAGGGACCCCTCGTAGGCCTGCGTCACCAGGTGGTGGTAGTTCCTCCACTGCCGGTCCACCCGGTCCCATAGATGCTTCAGCGGTCCCACGGCCATCACCTTCTGAGCAGCCTCCATGGCGGCCTCCACCGTCGGCGGGGCCTTCATCACATACTTGAAGCCGCCCAGGACCTGGTCCAGTTCAGCCCTCAGCTGACCAACCCTCTCCTGCGGGATGTGGAAGAACATGCCGTCGTGCTCGAAGGCCAAGACCGTCCCGTCGAACTTCTCCACCGCGGCCTCCACCAGGTCGATCAGCTGCCTCTCCTTGGCCGTGTTCAGGGCGTACTGCAGGTACTCCACGGGCCGCGACATGTTCTTCTTCAGCCATGCCAGCTTGGTCAGGTTGCCCTCGCAGTCCTTCTTGCGGATCTCCCCCACCTCCTGGGCGAACCTCCTCGCCAGCTCCTCGCTTGCAAAGGCACCCACCTGGTGGGTGGACTTCCAAGAGCGGATGGTGCCTCCGTAGAGCAGCATCAGCCACAGCTGCTTCGCGACCGCCCTGTCCGGGTGCGTCTGCTTCAAGATCTCTTCGCGGTTCTCAATGTAGGTCCTGATGGCGCCGCCTTCGGACTGAGGGTGCCGCGCCAGGACGATCTCCACGTGGGCGTTCACCAAGTCGAAGACCCAGCAGTCCCGCAGCCCCGCCCGCATCACGTCCCTGATGAACCCGGTCTGCACGAAGGTGCTGGCGCCGAGGTGGCAAGGCGCAAGCCCGGCGAAGCGCTCCAACTTGTGATCATCGATCACCTTTTGAGGCAAGCACCCCGAGTGGCGCCGACCCTTCATCTTCAGCATGAGCATGGTCTCCTCCTCAAAGTAGAAAGTCTTGAAGGACCTCCCGCCGTAAACTCGGTTCTTCGAGCACTGGGCCATGACATCGCCCAGCACGCGGACCATGGTGGGGCCTCGGCCATTCGCGGTCCTGAAAACCTTGCTGATCTCCAAGCTCCCAAGAGCATCCATCGCATCGGGGTTGACCCGGTCGAAGACGACAAAGTACGCCCTCTCATCCGAGTTCACGTCCTCGAGCATGTGGTCGACATCGCTCCTCTCGGCCTCCACCGCGACGTCCTCCACCTGCACGGCGAGAGCCCTCTGGTCAAGCTCCCTCTGGCGATCCAACTCGCTCTTCTCCCACTCGGAAAACTCATCACCCCCCTCCGGTTTCTCGTTCCGGGCGCCGGCGGGGCGCTGTGCATCCTCCTCTGCATCCCCGTCTTCTAAGAGCGACGGAGCCACCGCCGCCAAGCCGCGGGCCGTCTGCAGCTCGACTTCATCCCAATGCCCCGCACCGAAAGCCTTCAAGAATCTCGAGAGCACTCCGGGCTCACTGCCAGGCTGCGAGACACGCTGGCGAACGAAGCCAGCCAGGAGCACCGCCAGCTGGACCCCCTGCAGGGCCGCGGCCTCCAGCGACCGCCACTCATCGGCCCTCCGCTTCTCCAAGTCATCTGCCTGCGCAAAGGCCCGACACGCCAGCAAAGGAACCGAAGGCTGAATCACCCCGGCCTCCATGGCCGGTGCCGTGGTGTCGGGGCCATCCTCCACTGCATCTGCCTGCACGGTTGGGGTGAGCGGAAGAACAAAATCACTGAAGGCACTCGCCTGCTCCGCACCCGCAGCCATATCCTCGGGCGTGGAGTCCTGCTTCGACTCTGCCTGACGGCGCCAACAAAAAAAAAGCACGGAACCACAGAACAGGACGGTCTCCTGCTCCGGGGCCTCCCGCAATGCATCCTGAACGGGGTTTTTGTTTCCGGGCGAACCGAATCACCGAAGACCCCCCCCCACCTCCATCGCGGCTGGCGCGGCTGCATCGAGCCCCGTCTCGGCATCCTGGGCGGGACCCCCACTGAGACAACTGAGACAACTGAGACAACTGAGACAACTGAGACTCGCACCTGGCCCATGTGCGTCTCGGCATCCTGGGCGGGACCCCACTGAGACAACTGAGACAACTGAGACAACTGAGACATTGAGACAACTGAGACAACTGAGACAACTGAGACAACTGAGACAACTGAGACAACTGAGACATTGAGACAACTGAGACAACTGAGACATTGAGACAACTGAGACGCCGTTAGTCTATCTAGCCTTTTGTCTCAATGTCTCAGGTGTCTCAGCCCCTCCCCCTACATCCGCAAACCATGCCCCGATCCCAGGGTGGGTTGTCTCATTGTCTCAATGTCTCAACGGGGGTCTCTCAGCGGGGACCAAGAACAAGCAGGTTCCCAACTCACCGAGCCCCCCCGCCTGCTCCATGGCCGGCTCCGCATCTCCCTCCATCGTAGGAGCGGCTACCTGGTCGTGGGGGCAATGCACTCGCGAACCGACCCACCGAACCTAACCTGGCCTGCTCTGCGGCCGACACCGCATCTCCCTCCATCCTAGGAGCGGTTACCTGGTCGTGGGGGCAATGCACTCGCGAACCGACCCACCGAACCTAACCTGGCCTGCTCTGCGGCCGACACCGCATCTCCCTCCATCCTAGGAGCGGTTACCTGGTCGTGGGGGCAATGCACTCGCGAACCGACCCACCGAACCTAACCTGGCCTGCTCTGCGGCCGACACCGCATCTCCCTCCATCCTAGGAGCGGCTACCTGGTCGTGGGGGCAATGCACTCGCGAACCGACCCACCGAACCTAACCTGGCCTGCTGCGCGCCCCAGTCCCAATAAAGCGCGGAGATCTCCGAGAGAGCCTCGTGCCCACCGCCATCAGCCAGGACGACAACATCCTTGACGTCGTCGAACCCGGACACCGGGTACATGTTATCATGCGAGTCCAGCCAGGCCACCGCGGTTTCTCCAGCCGTCAACAAGGCTTGCAGCGCCGCCCTGAGGCTCTGGCCTTCGCAGAGCTTCATAATGGTGGTGCCGCCGTTGTATTCGAACTCATCCATCTCGAACCGAAAGCCAGCGACGACCCGCTCAACCATCCGGATTGCATCCTGAGCGAGATCACCAGAGCTAAAACACCCAAGACCGGAGCACCGGACCTCCTCCGTCGGCAGGACCTGCTGCTCCACTGCATCCTGAACGCCACCACGCTAGCTGCTAGATGTCGAAACACGGAAGGGTCCTCACCCATCACCGCGGGAGCTTGTGAGCTTGAGGCTGCCGCAGCCTGGCAAAGGACAGGAGTGAGACAACGACTCTTAAAAGAAACCCAAAGATGTGCCTCTGGGCCATCGCCGACCTCGCTTTCGGACGGCTCCTGAACAACAAGGCTCGCAACACGTTCAACATCCACCGCGCCCTATCCCTCAGCCTTCTTGGCGAACCTATCCAGGGCCCCGAAGCTCACCGAGGCCTTCTTCATGAAGCTCCGCATGCGACCTGAAGGTGCAAAGGACCCACCGGCCAGCACAACGGAAGCCGCGGGACAGAGGCGCAGACGCTCGAAAGAAGCCGAGGATGGCACCTGGGCGCAAGAGGCAAGAGGTGCAGGGGCCACAATGCGAAGCCGAGGCCCAGACAGTCGATGAAAGGTGCCGGGCACCTGGCGGGACAAGAGTGCAGCACCCTCCTATGCGCGCACGGACGAGCCCAACAGCCACGAACCCGAAGGAAACCCCAACAAACCCGAAGCAACGACCCTAAACTCCTGCGTAGCTGAGGCCCAGACGCTCGAGTTGCCGAGAGCCCAGGCACCTGGCGGGACGAGTCGGGAGGGGGCAGGTGGGGGCTCCAGGACGACAAACACACGGCACAAGCACGAAGAAACCCAAACCGCCGAAGTCCGAAAAAAGAAACCCTGAACTGCAAAGCTGAGGCCCAGGCGACGAATTGAAGGGAGGGTCAAGTACCTGGCAGGAGGGGCGGGGTGGGGCAGGGTTGGTAGGGTCAAGGGTCTAAGTCTACGGGCTAGAAGCGCGCGCCTTCCGCTTCAAATGGGAAGCCCTTGCCCCCCAGAAAAAGACGCAAAATGCTGCAGCGCAACAGCCATGATCAACAAAAAAACGCGCGGCGCAATGGCAGTACAGGTAGACATGTCGCACAGAAACAAAGCACTCGGCGCTCACTCAGATATACTGTGTTTCCGATGCTCCGCGCCAAGCTGACTTCCTAGGCATCATCTCCGCTGCGACTCGGTTCCATAGAGCGTTCGATTGCCCGCTTCAACATGGCCTCCGCTGTCCTGTTAAGACCCAGCCATTCGACCAAGTTCCCCCAGCCGAACTCGATGCCACGTGCTTCCGACGGAGCTGGGTGACCGTCCCGTAGGTGCTTCTCAGCAACATCCTTCACGATTGCAGTGGTCGCAAGCTTGACTACGTTCTCACAGCTGTACCTTCGCGCGGGCGCGTAGAGATCACGATTGAGCAGGATAGCGTTAGCAAGCTGCTCGGACCGCTTAGCCACAGCTCTTTCGTCAGCCATTGCCCGATGTTGTCGCCTATAGCCTCATGTACTGCTCTGCGCTGCAAGCCGCGGCGCGGTAACAAAGTAAAAAAAACAAAGACCAGAAGGCGCTCACAGGGCACTTGCGCGGCGCTTGCAGGGCAGCTGGAGTCAAGCCTACTCCGGGCCGAAGGGGGTTCGGGTGCCCTGGACCAAACCAAAAAGAAGCAACCCCGGCAAAAAAAAGCACTCTAGCAAAAATGTTACTGCAAAAGTCGGCGGGCCTAACTAGAATACTGTTACAAAACAAAATGGCATCAGTGAGCAAAAGCGAGCGAGCATCTGTGAGCAAAAGCGAGCGAGCATCTGTGAGCAAAAGCGAGCGAGCATCTGTGAGCAAAAGCGAGCGAGCATCTGTGAGCATCCTAAACCCCCACGGATCAGGTCGGCGATAGCCACAGGCTCGCCGCGAGTTGACACTGAGCACTCGAGGCCACGAAACCTTGAGCCAAACCTAGGGGACGTACCCACCGAAATCATGCCCTCGCCACAACCTGGTGTGAAACAGCCCGGCAAAGCCTTTTGGGCCATGCGCGGGCCTTCCCGAGGCTGGCTGTGTCGCTTTTGGCCGGCGGGCCCGGCAAGGTGTGTGAAACATAGGCTGGGCGCACCCCGAAAATCATCGCCGAAGCGGTTCCGTGATGCCCGGCGATTCCGTGTGGCTGTGTTCGACCCATCCTAAACCCTCCCGGACCACGTTCCGTGGCTTGCCGGCACCGATCTGACAGGAAAGGCCCGATCCGGCCGAAATCGTGCTCAAACGCTAGGCGGGGGACACACCGAAATCGGGCTCTCGCCGGTGCGTGGTCGGCGCGCAAAACGGCCGGCTGACGGGGGCTGTCGGGCCGCACCCTCCCCGGGCGGCTTCAAAATCCGAAAAAATCGGGGTGCGGCATGGTGTTTTAGAGGCATGCGTGTTTGGAATGATAAATGTCGTCAATGTCAAATATGGAATTGGCGTGCCACAATATCGTGGAGGAGCCCACCGAAGCCAACCTGGTTAGGCTGTTGGACCTGTGGTCGGCGGACTGGAAACATCAAGTGCGCACACGCGTCGTGGGGCCTGGTGCGTTCGAGAAATACTGCACCTTGGGCTTCTTCGGGCACGGGGGGGTGTGCGGTGTTTCCAACGCAACGAGCAAGCGAGCGGCCTGCACCGCAGTGAACCGCTTCTTGAAGAGTCGCTTTCCGAACGGCACCTGGACCTCCATCGCCGTGCTCTTCAATCCCCGCATGGGCCTGCACCGCGACATTCAGAACATGGCCGGGCACTTGAACCATGCTCTGGCTCTCGGCGATTACACAGGAGGGCGGGTGTGGATCGAAGACGACGAAGGGGACTCCCCAGCCGTGCTCGCCGGCAAGAAGGGCGACCGGGAGCTGCGTGGGCGGTGGCTGGACATGCACGATAAGCCAGTGAGCTTTGATGCTCGCCGCTATCACATGGTCGAGCCGCACGAGGGCAACATGTGGGCACTCGCTGCTTACGTTCCGCAAGCCTATGCTCGGGCGACGGAGCAGCACCGGCAGGCGCTGAGAGAAGCGGGCTTCCCGCTGCCGAGCTAACCAGTACGGGGCCGGGCCCGGAGGATTTTTTTCTCTCTCTGGGGAGGGTGTTCCAGCACTCCACTCTGTGATAGCTACAAGCCTTAGTTCGAGACATAGGTCAGAATTCGGTACTTTCGAGCACTATCGATTCACGGGCCTACGGCCCGCAGCTCGGACGATCTTAGGGGCTCTAAAGTCTTTGCAAAACGGGCTTTAGAGGAACTTTAAAGGGCGCGCCTCCTGCCAGCAGCCGACGAGTGCTCGCCAGCAGCTTACGAGACGCTTGCTGGCGACTTACGAGCACTCGCCGGCAGCTTACGAGCTACTCGCCGGCAGCTTACGAGCTACTTGCTGGCAACTTAAGAGCACTCGCCGGCAGCTTACGAGCTACTTGCTGGCAACTTAAGAGCACTCGCCGGCAGCTTACGAGCTACTTGCTGGCAACTTAAGAGCACTCGCCGGCAGCTTACGAGCTACTTTCGAGCAGCGCACGAGCTTCTTCTTGCCAACCGAAATAACCGAAATTCAAGACAGTTCACCGAAAGTTTCGCCACTCGCCGGCAGCTTACGAGCTACTTTCGAGCTGCTCCCACGCCTCCGCGCCGAACAAGCGCGCGTAAGCGCGCGTCGCCCTCAAAATCTCAATGTCGCAGGCCACTCCGGGCAGTGTGCCGTTTCGTGGCACAAAGCCGGCTGAGACAATGAGACTTTGAGACAACCGGCCTGGAATCGTCTCAAAGTCTCAATGTCTCAGGCGAGGTGGACGTTATTATCGTCAACTTCGGCTGAGACATTGAGACTTTGAGACAACCGGCCTGGAATCGAAGCGAATGTCTCAAAGTCTCAATGTCTCAGGCCCCTCCGGCCCCCAGGGCCCTCAGAACCGGTTGTCTCATTGTCTCAATGTCTCAGGTCCCTCCGCACACCCTCGAACTGCTTTCGAAGCCGCCTACGGCCAGTTTGCAAGCACTTCGGAGCCCCTAAGATAACGAACCCTAGAGCCTCCAGCCCTCAAAATCGACAGGCCCTCGAAGTAGCGAATTCTACCCTATGTCTTGAAACTAGCCCCGTAGCTACCACAGAGTGGGGAACTGGAACACCCTCCCCAGAGAGAGGCTGAAGCCCAATGGAAATCCCACCAAGTCCTGCACAAACCTCCTTGACGGACCTGTAAGAATCAGCGGTCAGGGTTGGCCTGCAGATTGTAATGGTGTTCTCCAGGACACACAGATGATGAAGTGAGCTGATCACCCCACGATACTGTATGCCATAAAAGGTGTACACCCGGTCAGCCTCAAAAGAGCCCGCGCACCGAAATTGTTCTTGGTTCCACAAAGCCTCGAAAAGTCGCCCCATGTAGGTCCGAACTTCTGACATAAGCCACCATGTCAATGATGGATCCGAAAGGCAGCCCCGACAAGCGAGGATCCCCCACCATGAGAACGGAACCCTCGAGGATCGGTAGTTAGCAGCTCCACTAACTGGCAAGTCTCGAGCCCAGAGCTGTGTGGGTGCAGGAATAAAACTTGCGACCCCAAAAATGGGGCCGTCTCGCGGCCCCAGAAAAGGAGCCGCGAAATCCAGTCAACCTCCTTCAACATATTTTGACTGGCAACCAGAGGACCCCAAAATCGGGGCCGCTTGGCGGCCCCTATTTTGGGGTCGCGAATTCCTCATTTTGGTGCCCAAGCCCAAGTCCGTGCGTTCCACACTGCTACACCAAGGCGACTCGCCCACAGGCAGGCATCCAGTGTGGAAAAATCGTTCTCCAACAAGAATTTCCAACAGACAGCTTGCCTGTAGAAGTGATAGATGAGAGAACAGAGGGGGCCTCTCAAGCGAAGCCAAAATTGCTAAGCTTGTTCGACCCCACATTTGGAGCCGCGTGTGCTGCAGTTGGTCCGCACCGAAAGTGGACGTCGGCGGCGGTGCGAACACGTTCCAAACACGGCAGCCAGAACACTCCACCTTTGAGCTGCAGGCGGACTTATGGGACAAACAGAATCTGGTCCGTATGATCCTTCTCGATACCATAACTCTGTTCAGATGCCAAAGTCACCTTTGACAAAAATTCCCTCTCTTGATTTCAAAGCTGTACATATGGGGCTGTCGGAGGTCGGTCCTCCACAGTACCCCCACAGTTACAGTGCACAATCGTCTCAGGCGTTTTCACAAACCAGTTTTCCAGCACCTCGCCAAGTTCCGTTATTGGGAGGACTAAGGGTTGGAAGGCCTGCAGGACCACCAAAACAGTGGAAATGCGCACGAAGAATAGGAATTTGTGTGCAGGAGGAATTGGGGAGTGATCTGTGGGGCAGGGTTTGGAATGCAAAAGGGAGGAATTTAGGGAAGGATCTGCAGAGTTTAAGGCAGGATCTGCAAGGCTTTGGACTACAAGCAAGCATTTTACACGAAAAATATGAGCGTGCAAAAAATTATAGAGTTGTCCATCATGGTCAAAGTTTCAAGCTGACAACGCACAAACCCCGTGCATAGCACATGTTTTTCGAGCGTCTTTATCCAAGCTTAAAAACTGCGGAATTCTGCGAGAAAGACGTTTTTCCTATCTAAGTGATTGGCTTCAGCATCGTTTCCCACATTCGAGTGTAGTCCAGGAACCCGCGTAGAAGCAGCTGCGCTCACGTGTGGAAAAGTTTTTGGCAGAGTGCGCAACTGTCAATTTCATCAAATGCAATTTTCACGAATGGCTACGCCCCAAGCTCGAGTGAAGTCCATCACAGTTTGTCGAGACCTTGCGAGAACGCGAGGAGCTGGGAACCCACCAAGACTTGGAACATGCGTCGCGCTGGCAGCGACGTTGGTGCTCTACATAGGTTTTTGGGGGGGTGTTCAAACCCAAGGTTTGGAACTTAGAGTTCCGAACCCAGGGTTCTCGAACTCTGAACTAAGAGTTCGGAGCCTCGAACCCAGGGTTCGAACATCGAAGTTCCGTTCGAACCCTGGGTTCGAACTTTGAGTTGAACTCCAAGTTGAACTCAACTCCGAACTTCTTGAACTGGAGTTGAACCTTGAGTTGAACTCTAAAGGCGAAGAGTTTGAACCCAGGGTTTGAACATAGAGTTTCCGAACCCAGAGATCGAACATAGAGTTTCCGAACCCAGGGTTTAAACTCTTGCGGCCCGAAAGTTTCAACTCAGGGTTCGAACACAGAGTTCCCAATCCAGAGTTCGAACGTTGAGTTTCCGACCCAGGGTTCGAAATCTGGCGGCCCTACAGAGTTGAAACCCAGGTTTCGAGCATAGGTTTCCGAATCCGGATCGAACATGGAGTTTCCGAACCCAGAGTTCGAACTCTTGTATCATTGCTTCTTGTTCTCTCATTTTATTTTCTTCGCAAAAACCCCCATTAAGCGATTTCGTGTGGCTTCTTCTTCTTTTATTTTTCCGAGCGATTTCGTGTGGCTTCTTCTT